TCAAACACCCATCCCTCCACCAGTGCCCATTTCCCACCACCACGGATCCCAGTATCCCTCCCACTCCCCATCCCCCCCATCCCACCCTGCCTCTGTGGCAGGGCATTCCCTTTTGATCTCTCTCTTTTATTGGGTGTTGTGGTTTTCAAAAGAGGCAATGGGTGACAATCACGTTTGGTCTATACTCTACTTTCAGCATTCTTCTCCCATCCTGGGAGGATCCTCCCAACATCATTTATTTGGTGCTCCCTTCTCTATCTGAGCTGCCTTTTCCCCTAGCATGTGTGGCTGGCCTCCAAGCCATGGAGTAAAATTCCTGGTACTAATCTCAGCCATTCTTGGGTGTCAGTCTCCTATTTTGTTCCTTTATGTTCCCCAGATGAATGCAATCTTTCTATGTCTATCCCTTTCTTTCTGAGTCATTTCGCTTAACATGATACTTTCCATGTAGTACCACTTGTATGTAAATTTCATGACTTCGTCTTTTCTAACAGCTACATAGTACTCCATTGTGTAAATGTACCAGAGTTTCTTTAATCAGTTATCTGTTCTCGGGCACTCAGGTTTTTTCCAGATTCTGGCTATTGTAAAGAGTGCTTCAGCCACCCCTATTCTTGTTTTCGGTTTGAGCCTTGGAGGAGAGAGCAGAGCATGAAAGGCAGGAGAGCACTGAGGCATGGAGGCAGGCTCGGATACATTTGATTACCTGAGACCTGTTTCAATGACAAGAAGTAGCTTCTGGAACATTTACCCTATCCTTGAGAGTTTTTTGGGGGGAGGATCTTGGTCTTTTTGAATTGGCCTATGTCGTCCAATAAACATGAAAACTGAGGTCTGGGCAGGAGAGGAAACATGCCAATTTGTTCTACTGCTTCTTCTTTTTTAATTTTTTAAATTTTTGGTGTTGGGGTTGGGGGGAGTCATATGCTACTAGACTCAGGGCTTACTCCTGGCAGGCTTGGGAGGCCTTATGGGGTGCCAGAGATCGAACCCAGGTCTGACATGTGCAAGGCAAACACCCTACCTGCTGTACTATTGCTCTGGTACCAAGCTTGTTCTGCTATAGGTACCTTTTTATGGAGGTTTCCAAATAGTGCTCATGGGAATCTGGGGACCACTCACTCCTCACAATAGCTGGCCAACAGGGCTGGTGATTTAATGCAAGAGCCTAAGGGTGAGGTGCTGGGCACTACCTAGGCCAGGTGGAGGTATTCAGGGGAACCCACGCTCATACCATCTACTCTGAAACAAGTCTCAGGTCTTCGGATTTTCCCTCCTTACTCTGTCCAGCCCCTTTCTTTGTTCTCCAGAAGGGTTTCTCTCCTCTCTTTGCAGCAATATGTTCGGAATGTTGTCCGAAGTGATTCGACAATATTCGGAAAAGGAAAGAATCAACACTCAAGACATAAGCCTCAGGGAAGTCGGGCACTATCTCCCCTCTGATTGGCTCACAGGGGAGTTGGATCAGGCGAGAGAAATGTTTAGTTAGAGCAGGAGGAATCTGGCATATGGTGAGACTGGAAATAAGCCAGAAACACACCTGTCTGCCCTCCTCTGAAACACAGAGTCACGACTGTGTCTGGCTGTGGCACGGGATACAACAGGGCCACTGGAGCCCTACCTTGGCTCCAGCACTGGCTGACCGAGAGTCATGGGCCAGATTCCTTATCCGGCTGGATCGTATTCTCCCTCCCTGCCATCAGACTACTCTGTGCCCACAGCTTCCCACAGAAGGATGTGACCACAAACTCACCTGGAAAGACACAGTGGTCAGTTCACTCTGTGGGTTTGAGGAGAGCCCATGTGACTGTTTTTTTCCAAGCTTTAATGAATCCAGATAGTCCCAAGCTGCCAAGAGAAAGTGGGCAAGCGTCTCTGCATGATTCACCATTTGCCCCAAGTACTCTCCATTTAGGTTAGTAAGTGGCTTCAAAGAAGTAATTCTTTACTCCTGGTGGTGCTTAGGGGACCACATGGGATGCTGGGAATCGAACCCGGGTCAGCCGCATACAAAGCAAACTCCCTACCGGCTGTGCTATTGCTTCAGCACATATCATTAGGTCCCTGAGCACCAGGATGCTCCCACTGATGGCTGGGAGGGCCCCCTGCTGGAGGGGTCAGCCCCCTGCAGGACGGGGGCTCCCTTCATCTGACTATGAAGCTTGCCTTTGCTCTTCCTTTGGGTTTGGACAGAGCTGCCTCTTCATCGACCGGCAGAAAAGAGCTCCCTTGGGTTAGACAGGAGGGACAATGTTCCAACGAAAAGGGCAGTGGAACCCCAAAGGCATTGAGTAGATTAACTCAGGGTAGAAAGCAAGAGGAAACGGAAAGGCAATTTCATGACCTCTCAGCTGGAAAAACAACCAGATCACTGTGGTGCCCACGTGACAGAGGAACTGGCTGTGTCAAATGCCTCAGATACTTTCCTTAGGGAACCCACTGCCTTAAGTTCAGGTTCAAAGGTTAGCTGCCCGATAATGACATTCAACCCCTTCTTGGAGGAAATACTGGCAATTTTGGACCAAACCTTAAGGAAGAAGGAAAAGAGGAGAGAGGGTCTTGCCGCCGATAAGATGCTTATCCAAAGTAGATTTCATCTGGAAAGGCTTTTGAGACTTTCCACATGACTGCAGAAGCGAAACTCCCAAATCCCACCAAGTATGTCCTCATGCCACCTGGATCCTGATGGGTTCATTTCAGGACTTAACGCGCTGTTGGCCAGCTCCAAGTCCAAGTCTCCTGGAACTTGACTTTGTGCTCTGAGTGCTAAAGGGCAGTGTGGTCCTCATAGCTCAAGCCTCAAGAGGGGTTCTGGAGTGAAATCTATGATCGGGTCCCATGAAACGAAGGGGTAGGTGCTAGTACAGCATCAAGCAAGGGAGAAAAGTGGACAAGAGTTTAAGGGAGGGGCTTCAAAGCTGGGAAGGGCACAGGATGGAAGATATGGATGCTAAATTCCCCCACCTTGCAAGGGAAACATTTAAAAGTGGGAAGAGAAGGAATTGAAGACAATGTTCTTGAAAATCCTATTTCCAATGAAAATATCTGCATCCGCCAGCCAGGTCACTTCTTGGAGAAATACACGGAGGCGTTTCTGAGAAAGAGGCTGAATTGCATTTCCGATGAGTATTTATATCTTAGTTGTTGCAAATACTTGGGATTTCTTAAGCCAGAAAAGCTCTATTTGAACAGGATGGCAGGGTGAAAAAGAGATGCACAGCAGCATAGAAAAGATGATTTACTTCTTGCAAAGGGCCATTAGACAATGAAAATTAATTGTTGCTTAGGTCCAGGGAACATCTTTCTACTGGTTGTTTATTATTATGATTATGATTATTATTTGAGGTGCAAAGAATTGATTCCATGCCTTGCACATGAAAACTATGTACTCTGCTACTGAGCCCCGTTCCCAACCCATATAAAACCCTTCTTAGGATGGAAATGAATGAACGGAGTTCCTGGCTAGTTGCCCATGCACACTATTTGGTGCCAATTTCATCTGGAAAGTGTGGATGACTTAAAGTCTTTTTAATGTCTAAGGAGGAATCACGGTGAGAGAGAAGGAAACAGGGATGGGAAATTATAAAGCAGAATCAATTACTTCTCAGTGAGGCACATCATAGTATCAGTTTTTAGATTCTTCACTGGAAACCAAGGTCCTGGGCACTCTCCCTGCTGCAACCCATTGGCCCGAACTCCTTACTGTGCCCACGGAGACCGGTCTGTGCTTTGCAGCTACCACGTGCCCATGTGCTTTGGGGCTCAGTCTTTCCAGGACCTTTGCACTGGCTCTGTCCCTGCCTTCTCCTGGTGCATGTCTCCACGCGGCAGGCACCTCCTCTTGCCCGTGCCACAGAAAGTAGCCCCCGCCGCATCCATATCGAACCCACTGAGCCCGGTTTTGCCACACGGAGTCACCTCCTTCGGGGAGCGGGTGCGCGTGTGTGTTCCAACAGGGACTGGCTGATTTGCAATTCAGTTGTGCTCACCCCAGGAGCCATAAGGGAACTAACTGGCTGGCTCGTTTTCACAGGTTCTTCTGCGTGAGCCCCGTGGAAACAATCCACGATGACAGGCAGCTCGCAAAGGCAGCGGCGAGAGGGCATCGCCTGGTCCAGGGCAGTCGGGTGGGTGGTAGTGCTGCGGGGGGGTGGGGGGTGGGGGGGAGGGGAGGAGTCAAGGGTGGGGTGTGGGAAAGAGGGAGGAGGGGGACAGAGGCCCTAGGCCTTCGCCCTGCGTCTTGGACCCCACCGACCCTGATGGCACTTGGAGGAGAAGGTGCTGAGAGTTGGCTTCTGCACCCCACGTCTTGCCACCTGGCTGGGGCGGCCTCCGAGAGGGGCCTGGGGTGCGGTGGCTGGGACTTGCTTCTGGTCCAGGTCAGTGGGCGAGGTGGGCGTAAGGGCCCAGGGTGCAGGAGATCTGGGGGGGAGCGGGGGGGAAGGTGCGGGGGGACGCGCGGGGGCGCCGCTCCCCGGGCCTCCGGGCGCGCGCGGGTCGCAGGCGCGTCCCGGCCCACGCACTCGCGTGCCCACGGCCACATTATTCCCTATAAGGCTCTGAACGGCCCGGGGGCCGCCCCGCCCCGGCGCCCCGCGCCCCGGCCCCGCCCCCCTCGCGGAGGGCCGATGAGGTAATGCCGCTCAGCCATTGGTCGGAGGGGGCGGGCCGGGGGGCTCCGCGCTATATCTCCCCGGCGCGGGGCCGCGGCGCAGAGCGGGCAGTGGCCGGGCGCTCGGACGGCTCCTCCTCTCCCTGCTCCTCCCGCGCCTGCAGCCTGCGCTCGGGGCTCGCCTTCCCGCACGCCCCACCGGCCCGCCGCGTCGCCTCGCGTCGCGTCGCGCTGCGCCCCGTCCCGCCGGCCGCTCGGAGGCCAGCACACCCCCCTCCCTCCACCCCCGCGACCCCCTCCACGCACGTCGCCAAAGTTGCGCGGCGCGGCCGGACGCGAGCGCTCGGCGCCGGCGACCCCGCGGGCAGCGCGCACGGAACTTTGCAGGCGCACGAGCAAGCAGCAGCAGCGGCAGCCCCCCGCGATGACTCCCTGGCTCGGGCTCGTCGTGCTCCTGGGCAGCTGGAGCCTGGGCGACTGGGGCGCCGAGGCGTGCACATGCTCGCCCAGCCACCCCCAGGACGCCTTCTGCAACTCTGACATCGGTAAGCGTCCGCGCCGTCCCGAGCCCCCCGCGTCCCACGCGCGGCCGCTGCCCTGCCGCAGCCGGCGCTCCGTGGGCTTGGGGAGACAGAGGGGGTGGGGGGGGGGCGGCGAGATCCGCTCCTTCTCTTGGTCGGTCTGGGCTCGCGAGGGGTGGTGAGACGTAGTTACTACCGCGGGTGAGGGGCTGGAGCAGATCTGCAGGGGTGGGGGTGGGGGGGGGGCGCGGCGGCGCGCGGATGCCCTGCAGCGAAAACCCCATCCTGGCTGAGCGCGCCCCCTTGCAGCCTCGGCGACCCCCTTTTAAGGGCGTGAGGTGTCCTCTTGGTTCGTTTGACGTCTATGAAATTTCCCTTTGAGCTGATGTTGGGAGGCAGGGCAGGGAAAGAAGAGCGGGTTGAGGGGGGTTACGGGGGGGGGGGGGGTTGTTCCTAAAACTTGGCGTTGGTGGTGGTGGTGGTGGTGGGGGGGGTTGTTCCTAAAACTTGGAGTGCCAACCCAAGTGCTGAGTTGCTGAATAGTGAACAGAATAACGAACTAACTAAATAAAACCGAAGTTCTCGGTCCTTGTGTAGGGAAACTTGAAGTTTTCCGAGTTCTTATCTTCTGCACCCACGGACTTCATACTTCATTCTGTCCTTGGAGACCCAGCCCAGGAGCGAGCAAAGTCCAAGCTTCTGGGACTTGAGTTTCCAGTTTCGGGTGGATTTGTGGGGGAAATGAGGAGGGAGGGGGGCCTACCCCTCCCCTTCCCCCCCACCCCTACCCCATAGAAGCCCTATTTGAGAGTGTGGATGGTGAGCTAGAGGTGCGAGGGACCACTTAACGGCAGAGCTGTGAGAATTCACAGGAAGACGGGTTTTTTACCCCCTTAAATGTGTGGCGAGGGGAGAGAATGTGCGGTGGGAAATAGATTTGTCACCCAAAGCCCAAAGATAGATGCATATCAGGGCGGCCCATGCGGATGGTCTGTGGGACTTGGAAGAGACCGAGTGTCAGAAGCCTTGGAAGAGACTGAGTGTCAGAAGCCGTTTCTGTCCTGGGAGATCTAGGTGGGGCGGCTTTGGGACACTAGTGCCGGGATGGCCAGCAACAGCTGGAAAACATCTGCCCCCTCCTGCCCAGCTCATAAAGCATGCAAGGCCAGTGGCCCCGCTGTGCGTTCATGTGCGTGTGTGTGCGTGTGCGCGTGCACGACAGAGAGAGAGAGAGAGGGAGAAAGAGAGAGAGAGAGAGAGAGAGAGAGAGAGAGAGAGAGAGAGAGAGAGAGAGGCGAGCAGGCACACTGGGGGTGGGGTGGGACCCAGTCAAGCCGCCCACTGCCTGTGTCGATTCAGAGGTGAAGAATGGAGCGTGTGTGTTTTAAGTCGTAAAGGGGAAGGAAAAATTTCCACTGCATGCTGGGTGCCGGCCTCCACAAGTGTGCCGCGGGGAGGGGCTGGGAGGGGCGCTGCTAGTGGGGCAGGCACGGCCTAGCCAGGGAGGTGGCTGCCTTCAGGGACCTGAAGGTCAGTCCAGTTGGCAGGCACGGGTGTTTGTGTGACCTGGGGTCACCCCTGTGAGAGGCTTTCTGGCCCCCCTTTCTGCACCCTTCCTTCTCCCGGGGGATCCCGGCTGGTCTCTGGATGTGTGCATTGCCTGCAAGGTTCTCTCCCTCCCCCGCCGACTGCCCCAACCCAATTCCGCTGGGCCTGGCAGCCCAAGGGGCTGACCCGGGCAGGAAGGAGCCCAGGCCTGAGGGGTCGGCATGGGGACCGAGGCTGACAGGTGCACTTCTGGGGGTTTTCTTTGCTTGACCCATTTGGCCTGTGTTCCCTGGGATGTTTGAGCATGTTGGGGAGGGGAGCTTCCCCTTTGCCCTGGTTTGGAGGCTTCCGTCCTGGGGAACAGTGGGAAAGAGAGTCACGGAGACTCCGTTTCCACTTGTGGGTCTGGGCTGCTGCTGCAGACCAAACTCACTCATGGCACAGGCTTTCTTCAAGATCTCCCCACTCCCCCCATCCAACCCCCCCCCCCCCACGGAACCCCTCCTTCCTCAATCAGCTGCGCATAGCAAAGCCGAGTTCCCAGGAGGTCCCCAAGGCCAGAACATCACAGTAGCAAAACTCAACAAGAAAGGAACAACCTCTGATGGCAGGCCCTGATCCGGACCATGTGACCCGGCCGACTGGCAGCCTGTGTGGGGTGGACACGGGTGGGTGCAGTTGCAGGAGGAGGGCGTTGGGATGTGGCTGCCGCTGACCGCCTAGCTGTGTCCCCTCCTCCTTGCTCTGGCCCCCCAGGGTCTCAGTCTGGGTCTGTGTGGATCCTTATCCCCGCCTCCCCCCGCCCCCCAGACCCAATCGGTACTGTTGTAGCTCATGGGAGATGTGCAAGGGAGTCGGCCAGTTTCTGATTCTAGAACCTTCCCGGCTGCCTTCTCTCCAACCCAGTGGGGCAGAGCACGGCAGGCCTGGGGTGGCCCTTTTCTCTCCTCATCCACAGGTGCCTCCCTCTGCCTTTCTCCCCCAAAGCCCCGGGGCTGGCATTGCCTCATGGGGGAGGAGGAGTTAAAAGGGGTTTCTATGGCAACTCCAGGCCCTGCGCCCTGCAAAGTGTTTAGAAGAATAAACTACATGCCAGCTTCTAAAACCTACTGTGGGGGGAAGAAAAGACCTTGGCAGCAGCCAGGCTGTCTGTGCCCCTCCCTGCCAGTCATTGCCCCTGAACTTGAGACAAAACCTTGACTCTGCAGGAGGGCAGGGAGGGGGCCCGGAATGAGGCACGCCACCTCAGCCAGGCCGGGCAGCCTCTGCCTCATGGCTCTGTCCAAGAGTCGGCTGCAAATTGGGGTGTGTGTGTGTGGGGGGGTTTATGCATGCACGGGGGAAGGTTATGCAGAAGCAGCAGAAAGAAATTTGCTCCCCAATACCAAGTCCTTCTCTCTGGCCTCCCTTGCGTGGGGAACAGAACTGCCCTTCTCGCCCCCCCCACCCCTACCCCTCACACTCAGCCCCACTCCAAGACCTATTGGAAATCTGAGTGTGAGGCTCGGCTTGGGGACCCGTTGCCAGCCCTGGAGGACAGTCCCTGGATATCTCCAAATTGTTTTGACAGGGACCAGTGCCAGAGGATTCTTTGGGTATCAGATCTGTGTTTGTGGTTTTCGAAAAGGAGCCATTTTCAAAGAGGCCCCGATGTCTCGATGTCTCCCCTCCTCCCAATACCCCCCCACCCCCTCCTGTGCCGGGCTTAGTAACTTAAAGCAAAGAACTGGGGGGGTCCAACTTCAGAGGGGAGCTGGCTTCTGGGGAGGGGACCCAGGCTGCTGCTACTGGATTGGAGGAGGGGAGGGAAAAGCCATGTGGGATGCCAGACCCCCAAGATTCTCTCTCCTGTACCCAGGCCTAGAGGAGCTGGGCTTACCCTGGCCACCCAGCTGCTCAGCGGAGAGCCTAAAAGTTCTTCCTGGCGATGCCTTCCTTGAGAAGGGCCCCATCTCCACCCTCTCCTGGGGCTCCCGGCAGATGAGCTCCCGGGCCCAGCTGGCACAGATGGGTGGCTCGGAAGACGCTTGTCTCACTGCTGGGTTGGTTTGGCTGAAACTCTGTGCACAGCCAAATGGCCACAACTTCCAATTAAATGTTGCCTTATGGGAGGGAGAAGCTAATAATTACAATTATGATAATAATCGTAATTATTCTTATGAGGAATAAATATAGACAAATGAAGGCAACTTTCTAATGTGCTTTGGCTAAGAGAAGAAATCCTCAAAGTGACCACAAATCAAAGCTATGACTCAGTGTGTATTCCTGAGCCTGGGGGTAGGCACACGAATGGGGCAGGGCGCTCAGTCCTTCCCCCTTGCAGAGGCAGATGAACTGGGCGCTGGCCCCAGGGAGAGCCCGGGCATTGCAGAGAGGAAACCCGGGGCGAAGCTGGGTCCCCGGTGGTCAGGAGCAGGTGTCTCTCCTGCTGTGTGCCTTTCCTGCTCCCCAGGGAGATAAGGCAGAAAGGGGCGCTGATCTGGTTAGTGTGTGGGGACTTTTGGTTTGTTTTGCAGGACCAGCAGGAACCATTCAACTCCATGGCTGAATGGCACATTCCAGCAGGTTCATTAATTAAAAACAAAACCCACAACACAGTTCTCCAGTTGCGCTGGCTTTCACCCTGCCTGCCGCTATGGACAAGGGGGCCCCTTCTTCTAGCTTTTGTCCCAGGCAGCTCCTGGGTGGCCTCAGGAGGCCGTGCGTGGCGTGGAAAGGCTGTGGGTGGGGCGGAGCTGGACTCCCAGGCTTCCTGTGGGACTCGTTGGCTTTGTGTGCTCAGGCATATTACTGGATATCTTTCACCTTCAGGGATCTCATTTATACAAGGGGAATAAGAACTTGTACTGCCTAGACCCTTTCCATTTTATCCGTGTTTAAAAAGCTGAAGTTATTATGTGAATATGTTCTATGCTTTGTGTACAGGGATCTGTGTATTTATCTGTGCATATCCACCTATAACCCATCCATCCTCCCATCATTCATTCACCCAGCATCCATCCACCCATCATCCATGTACCCACCCTCCTTCTATCATTCATTCACCTATCACCCACTCAAACTCAAATCCATCCATCCATCCATCCATCCATCCATCCATACATCCATCCATTTATTTCTCCATCCATCCTCATCCTCTATCTAAAATCAGATAAAGGTAATGTCCTTTTTGACCACTATCTCAAATTCCATTCTCCTTTCTAGATCTTTTTCTTATTATGGTAAGTACCCACAGAAAATTCATAGTAGTTTTCTCCCTTAAAAACAGAAATAGTAGGGGTTGGAGCGCATTGGGCATTTGCCTTGCATGTGGCCAACTCAGGTTTGATTCCCAGCATCCCATATGGTTCCCCGAGCACCACCAGGAGTAATTCCTGAGTGCAGAGCCAAGAGTAACCCCTATGCATCATCGGGTATGACTCCAAAAGCCAAAAACAAAACAAAACAAAACCAGAAATAGAATATTAAAGTAGTGG